GTCATCGGCGACGCGAACACCATCTTCCGTTTCATGAAAGCGTGGGCTTTCTTTTCGTCCTCCTCTCCCCATCCCCAAGATTCTCTCCCACCCCAATTCCTGCCGTTCTACGACAGAACGGCAGTCAAAGACCGGAGAGGATTCGCACAGGTTTTCTGGGACTACGCGAAGACGACCAATGTCGAGGAGACACTCGACGTTGATCTCCTCCCGAAGATCCCAGAAAAGGTCCGATCCACATTTGTTGTGAGCAAGGAGGACATCCAAAGGCTGAAGAACCACGTCCTAACACGACACCCGAAAATCCCCCACGTCTCCTCATTTACGGTGGTCTTCTCCTACGTGTGGGTTTGCTTGGTGAGATCAAGAACCGAGATCAACAATGCTGACGACGACGATGATGATGAGATGGACAACTTTATTTTCACCGCCGATTTCCGGGCACGGTTGGGCTTGCCCCACCACTACTTCGGCAATTGTGTCGTGCCGTGTATGGGAAGCGTGCAAACGAAGGACCTAACCGGAGACGGAGGCGTGGCGAATGCGGCTGAGGTCGTCGGAGGAAGCATCCACAGCCAACTGAACAGCAAAGATGAAGATGGAGTGGGAAGTGGAGTTGAAGATCTGGCTACTAGGGTGGCTGCAATGAAGAAAGATCGAATATTGGGCGTGGCTGGGTCGCCCAAGTTCGACTACTACGAGCTGGATTTCGAGTGGGGAAAGGCCAGCAAGTTTGAAATTCCATCCATTGACATAACTGGGGCTATTTCAATGAGTGCAGCCAGCAAGAAGCATGGGGAAGGCGGCGGGCTGGAAGCTGGTTTGGCTTTGCCAGTTGCACAAATGGAAAGTTTTACCAGGATTTTTGCAGAGGGATTGAAAGCTCTATGAAGAAGAAGAAGAAGAAGAAAAACAGTTGTAATACTATATGAATAATTCCCATCTATTTCATGTTCACAATAATGTTGGGACAAGTGTGAGGCTATTGGGTGTGGTGTATAATTACTTATCTCTTGTATCCCTTTTTTTTTCCAACATATATTCAAATTCATGTTTTTATCGTCGAATACATCTCTTTTTTTAAAAGAATATTTATGTAATTCGTACTCATTTGTCTCATTGTAATTCGTACTCATTTGTACAAATTGGTAACTCATACAACTTTAATCATCAATAAATCTTAATTTGTGATGCATATGAATACAACAAATTAAAATTTTACTAGTTTTCAAGAAGATAAATTTATTGAAATAATTTTTATATACTAAAATACGTTACCATTTTTATTTAAATAAGATCCAAAAATATCTTGTTTGACTTAAAAAGTCAAACGGAATGAATACACTAAGCCTAAAATAGCATTTGTTTCTCAATCTAAATTGAACAATCTCAAGTTCTTTTTTAAAGAAATGTCCCTAAAAAATGTTGAACTATTTGGGAGATATATTATTATCTTGAATTATATGATACTGTACTTTCTTTGTCTCTTAAAATATTTTTTATTTTGACTTTAAAAAAATTAAGAAAATGATATTTTTATCTTAACTTTCTAAAAAAATCTTGATGTGATGGCTAATAGTATGATGTGATGGGAGTGGTGAAGGGAGCTTGGAACGTCAATTCTAAGAATGAGCACCACAAGTGCAGGGCCCATGTCATGACGGACATGACATTATATTGAAAGAGGTAGTATATCCCTATCTTTTTTGAAATAATTCCATGATAAGGAAGAAAAGTGAGACCGTGTGTAGGGTGAAAATGAAATGACTATATGTCTATATAGCCATTACAAATTTTGACTTCAAAATCAAAATCGATTTGTGGGGTGCAATTAAAGGAGGTGGGGGTGTGTTCGGGTCGGAGAGGGGCATGAGGATTTACCAGGGGGTAGGAACCGTCAATTTTACGAACGGGGCACCGGAGCGCCCCCGGATCATCCCATGACATTGGTTTCCAATGTCATGGGAACCTTCCCCATAGCACTATAGCATTGTGAATGATAATATGATGGTAAAGTGTGGTACGTGGCACCGGTGGTGGGCCGCTGATCCATAGTGGTAAACAAAGGTGAGTCGGTGACTAGCGGAGGAGCTCCGCTGGCAGTGGGGTGTGGAAGTTGGGAGTCACGCAATGACAGTGTGAACTCTTATTTAGGTCACAAAAAGTGTGTTACTCTCTTTTAAGTGTTTTTATTATCCTTAAGAATTGATTGTATTAACAAGAAAGCAAATTGCATCCACCATCTAAAAGTGCCATTATTTAGGTCGATTTAGATTGAATGGCTAACGGGAAATGAAATGTTTGTGGAAGGTTAATTTCAATCCTCCAAAAAAACATAATACTCCGTAAATGATTATTAAGAGATCAGACAATATTTTGGAAGAAAACAATGGAAGAACAATTCGTGCAGAAATAAAAAGTTGAAAGGGAACGCAAGTGTATATGGTTCATGGAAATGAGATGATATATAGGAAAAGAATTATTCTCTTCGGCTCACAATTCGTCATCATATCATTGTAGGTTTTTTAATCTGGACCGTAATTATTTCGGTTTAGTATATAATTTTATTGTTGTATCAATACCGATTTCAAAATTTCAGTTGGATATGATTCGGTATCAGGTTCGATGCAAATCTGGAAAAATAATATGCACCTAATATAGACTTTAAAATGTTAGAAAATAATTGTTTTTCTAAATTGTAAGTATATTTACATAAAGAAACATAATCAACTAAAAAATAAAAAATTAAATGCAAAAAGTGCTTATGAAACTTGGTTTATATTTCACAAACTAAAGTGAACGGATGATAACAAAATGTTACAGGAGTATTTCAAATGTGCGTTAATATCTTTGAATACATCTACAAAAAATTGAAACTCAAATAAAAGTTTAATGTACACATAATAAAATTTGATCCAAATTTAAAATATAAACTTATTATTTAATGGAAAATATAAAATATTGTTATATTTATAATATATTAATCCGTAGTACATATATTTGGTTTGAAATTTTCAGCATGGAAAGTTACCTCGTGTCATATCTAAATGCGGAACTGAACATTCTGTTCGGTATGATTCGGTATTTTAGCGATATTTTTTGGTTTGATACTTTTCATTTCGATTTTCTCGAGAATTTTCAATATTAGTTCTACACTTGCTCACATGTACATCAATCACGGAGATAAGCAAGAGAGAAGAAGAATGGTATTATTCATTCTTAATCTGAACAATACATCTATGAATCCTTTTAAAAAAGAAATTTTTATGTGATCTTTGGGTCCACACTCATTTCATGAACCTTAGTTATAAACACCATAAAACAACTGCATCTTTTGTAAAATAATATTCACTTATCAACCCATGAACATATAAGAAAGTCAACATTATCCAATAAGACCAATTAAGGCAATTACTATCAAATTGTATGAAATTTAGCCGATTTATTAGTTCAACTCAAGTATTTATAAACAGATTATTTTTATTTTTGACTTTCGATGTAAGATACTTTAACATTAATTTTGATATATTGAATTTTTAAAATATGAGTAACTCCATATTAATAGACAATTTTGTTTAAAAAAAAATCAAAACTAAAAATTGAAATTCACTACAAGAAAAATGCTCTATAGTGTGAGTACAATCCGTAGTTAAAACACAAAAAACTGTCATTAAAATAGGAAATTTACTCTCATCGACCGTCATTATAGCCTCCGTAGCTAATTACAAATAATGACGGGTTACAAGTCCTCTCATTAAAATTATATAATGAGAGTATTTTTACCTTCATCAAAATGCTCTTTTTATGACAAAAATTCCCGTAACTAATACAATTATTAGTAATAAGAATTATATTTTTTATGATTAAATATACCGTCATATATATATATATATATATATATATGTATGTATGTATGTATGTATGTATGTATCTTTATCTATATATATATATATATATATATGTATATGTATATGTATATGTATATGTATATATAAAGAGAGAGAGAGTATATATTTAAATAATATTTTATTAGAATAAGAAAAGATAAATACAAGAGCATGCTGAGTAATGCTCAAAGCAAAATTCAAGAAGCAAAATTCAAAAAAGAATTATGCGTTAATATATATATACTCCAAATATGTTGGTACAAAAAGACTAAAACATCACAACTCTACTGAAACCTATATAAGATCAGGATCACAACCTAGTCCAACAACATACATATGAAGTTAAAAATTACACTCCAAATGCTAAGTTCCAGGGCATGCTGCACCAACCACTGCCTGCAATGAGCATTATCCATCAGGACTTTTTATGATCTCCAGTTTGAAGAGCAACATTCTGTGGTGGGAGAGAACAGAAGGGGTTGTTGTTGCGGCTGTGGATGCTGCATGTATCCTTAAAGTAGTCATATGATTCTTTTGCAGATTTCATTGCAAGACTTAAAGAAATAGCACACTTCATTGCAAAACTTCAATGCAAATTTCTCCCTCTTATCATGGAGGCCAAGCATCCTTAGCTTCTGTGTCCATTTTGAGGCTAGCTGGAAGAATAGAAAAAAACTAACCATATCATAATAGCTAATAAACTACCCGATGGGTAAATTTCACAAATGGTACCTGAACTTTAGCTGGAATTTCGAAGTGGTACCTGAACTTCAAATCCTTTCACAAAAATCCCTGAACTTACACAATCCTTTCACTAATGAGCCATTAGCCCGTTTCTAGGTTAACTTCCGGTCATTAGGGCCAAATTTGAATTTTATATATTTTAAAATTTTCAATTTGACCCCATTTCTTCTTTTCTTTTCTTCCACGCCCCACCGCCGCCGCCCGCCGATCAAAGTCGCCGGAAAATGAACTTTTTCCGATTCCGGCGGGACCAATGTCATTCTCTTCGTCTTGAGACGAGGATCAATAATATCCAAACCATTTTGTCTAATTTGGCCTGTAACTTCTCGAATTTGAATTTTTCTACTCGAAAAAACCCTAAAATTCGAAATTGGATCCAAAATTGGGGGTTTTGCAAATCTTCATCAAATCTTGCAATTGAGGGGTCCTTGGAGGTCGCCCGGATGCCACGACCGCATTGGCGTTGGTTCCCGCCGTCAATTTCGCCGGAGTTGGCCGGAAAACGCTCCGACCCGCCGGCGGTTTCACAAGTTAAGATTCAGGCTAGGTGAAGGATAGATCATAGTGAGTACCTCTGATCACGAACCACCCATCTCTGGCCAACTCCAAACCTGACCTCCATTCCATTCGTTGAGCCAAAACTGCCGCTTTTATCATAATCTGCTGGCTTTTCCTTCAGCCAGTATGGCCTGAAATTATAATCAGAGTGTCGCGTCATTATTTAATCTTATTTCTTTCTTTCATTCTTTTTTTCTTTCATTCTTCCCGTTTGAGATGTTTAATGTGCACCTGGCTGCTGATTGGTGTTCCAGGACATATCAGAGCAAATGCACGTTCGTGCACGCAAAAAAACCGCCATAACCTAAGCATTCTTTACATGTAGTTTGTGTGAGCACCAGCACCATTCCAATCGCCATCGCCACAAAGGTGAAAAAAACAAACAAGAACAATCAAAGGATGCAATCCTTGGAGTAAGAGTTATGTTACAGTCTTACCATGGATGCCACAAGTTAAAAAAGTGAAAAAAGATGTTAATATTTACCTCAAGAATATACCTAGCTACACACACCTCATCACCAGCTGAAATGCCAACTGATGGGCATGTTTTTAGAGCATTAGAAAGCATTTTCAACAAAGTAACCACCTGATTTAAAAAAGATCTACACGATGCTGTGTGTGCCAATAAAGTAACCACCTGATTCAGACAAGCAAATAAATGAAGAGGCAGTAGCCATGATGTGTAAAACTAGGGGGCTGATCTATGTTTTATTCGATGACCACAAAATTGACAAGGACAAAACCAAGCATCAATTTTAGTCTGTTCATGAAAAAAGACTTGACGTTTATTAATCCATCAACATTGTTAGTCCATCAACATTTTTTTAAGAAAATAAAAAAAAACCTTGACGTTTATTAATCCATCAACATTTTTAAACATAAATAACATTATCTGCACACACAAAAATACTCATGATAATATATCAGAGCAAATGAACATGAAAAAAGAACAAACTATTCAAAATATTGCAGTAGAGCAAAATCTTTAATCGCATATCACTGTACAGGATATATAGCCAACAAAAAACAAAACATCATCATCAATATTACTAGAGAGCGTTTAAGAATAATGAATGGTCACCAAGAGGAAAAGATATAAACCAGACAATTTACAGGCCTTAGGGTTGATTGAAAATTGGAATTAAGAAGCCAGAATCATCTTTGTCATCTAATGAACTAGAAATCACAAATCTGCTCTCAAAACCAGTACAAAATAATTTATTCAAAGTATAATTTATTCATGAATCTATTTGAAATCAAATTTCAAAATAATATCTTTACATGCACTCGAAGATGACGACTTAGAGGGAGGAAGTTGTAAGATAATTGCATCCCCATTTCGAAATTGACGATCCAAATTAAAAGATCATTTGACCAAGTAGTATAGGGTGACCAAGGGAGGTCGTGACTGAAGTGGCGAGGGTGACCACACCGTGTCGGAGGGGCACGACATGGGGGCGCCGTGAGCCCTTAAGGAGTGAGGGTCGGGCCAACACCGGGTGAATTTACACCTTCACATTCGTTATACCATATATTTTTTATCACTCCACATCATACATTTTTACCCACATTTTTCACATGCATGTCATTCCACATAGCCCACTACTTGGATCTTATACAAAAGTGTTTTGAAAACCGGATAAGATTGGTCGGTTTGAGTGGTTGGACCTTGAACCGTGTATATATATCCAGTCCGGTTCAATGTTAAAAACTAGATTTGATTGAAAAAATGTCTAGACCCCTTAGACCTAGCGAAACCGACAAACTAAGTCGACCCAGACGGGTCTAAGGCCTAAACAAAAATAAAAGTTTTATGATTTGCTGAATTAAATCTCTAGGTCCTATTTGGTGAGTTTTGAAGGTATCATATGATATGAGTTTTAAAATTTGGGGAAAAAGATGTAGGTTTTGAAATCTGAAATGAAGTTATTTAGAGAGATTTAATAAGTGATGTGCGGGGGTGACCGGCAATGGGGTGTTGGGGGTGGAAATAGTAGCCGGTGGTGGAGAATTGTCAATGATTGAAAGAGATATCAAACCCCAATATTGTTATCTTCCAATTTTGGGAGATATCGAAACCTCCACTTGGAGAATTTATTTATCTGGAGATATCAAACTCGATATCTCTTTTGGCTTATCAGGCCAAACACTAAAAAAGAGTTATGAAATCTGGATACATCAAAATTCATATTTATAATTCTTTTTCTCACCAAACACACCCTAAATCTTTGTTTAGACTTACCCGCCAGGTTGCGTGACTGTGGCATATGGAAGAACAACTAAACAAGAGGGGCTGAAGGGGTGGAATCCATGCTGTCTGTAGCGAATAACTAAACTTTATCGATTTGGCGAGGAACGACAAAATGCAGTGGATGGCTGAATTCTTATTCTACCGTATGTTATTCCGTTAATGGCTCGTATGTTGGACAATGTGCTATCATGCATATATATTAAGGAAGGTGTGCTTGAACACTTCGACTTGAGTTGAAGTAGATGCGCCGCCAAGCACATAATTGGGTGAAGCATCAATTAAGGGGGAAGTTGATTCACTTTATTAATTCCAACTAATGTTGATTTATATTTTAGTTGGACAATGTGATATTATTTGTTTGTTTGATATCTATTTGCATGAGCATATATCTTTTTGCCCATCTCTTTTTGATAATGTCAAAAGGGGGAAGATGGTGTAGATATGTATATATTCAGGGGGAATTGTATTTGTGCATATCTTAATGGGGAAGATAGTATAGATTTGTATGTCTTTTTTTGATTTATAATGCAATACTTGAGGGGGAACTAGCCTTGTATGATGCATATCTCCTAATGGGTTTGTCATTATCAAAAAGGGGGAAATTGTTGGACAATGTGCTATCATGCATATATATTTTTGCAATGTCCTTTTCCCATTGTCTTTTAGGTTTTGATAATGACAAAAGGGTGACAAAAAATCATCATCATATTGTGCATCAAGGCTAAGAATCAAAGCTACAACAAGTTCATATCCGTCCGTGAAGAAGGGACTTGAGCATCGGCGGAAGGAACGAGACCGAAGAGGTTGTTTCCTTAGTTGGATAGTGTTTTAGGTCTTAGATTTTGTGTTAAAGAGTATGGCATCTCTAAGGTTCATTCCCTTATCGTCCTACCTTTAAAACACATTTTAGATCAGCCTTTGTGTGGGGAAGTTGCCCTTCTATTCGAATAATCTCTAGTTTATTCGAATAAGTCGTGATCTTTCCTGTGACTGAAATTAACCTGTTTTTTCTTCGAATAAATCACCATTTATTCGAATAGGAACTGGTTTTTCAAGCCACGCGATTGATCCAAACTATTCGAATAGTTCTTTAATTATTCGAATAAGTCTACAGTTTCAAGTACCAAACGGCTAGTTTTTTGAATGCTTTTCATCCCTATCAACTCCCTAACTTCTATAAACTATCTACTTTCGAGATTATCTTCATAAGAGCACTTAGAACACTTTGAAGAACATATCCTTTGAATATCCAAAGAGATTCTACTCAATCCCCTCCATATATCCAAGCAAGGCAATTGTTTTGATTGCTAAATCATTTCTTGCTTGAGTTTTTCCTCATTGCTTGAGTCTTTGAGAGATATTGCCATATTCTAAAGGACTTCATTGTATTTTCAACAATCTACTCCGTGTTGGGAGAATTACTCGGTTGCGGTTTGTTTTCTTACTTTATTGTAAGGGTTTTGTATTCTTGGTGTTGGGATTACACCAAGTGGTAGAAATCCTAACGGTTTGTGAAATCAAACGTTAGGTGGAAGAAATC